TTGATAGTCACTAAAGAGCATGTCAACAGGCATTACTTCGAAGTAAACATACTTAAAATCGGTGATAGCCTGTCTGGACAGTTCTGTGCTGCACGCATGTATGCAGGAGCACACGTATACACACATAAACAAAGACAGAAAGAAACGTACCCATTTCTATTGGACATGCTCAGAAAAAAGAATACAGATGCGTAATAACATTTTGCTCAGGGATACAGTAACTTTAATCTCAAAAGAAAGAATCGCAATAGAGAAATTTCCCCTTTTGCTGTTTGTTAGTCCCTTTTTTTAACTTTTCCAGATTTACTTGCGCAGCCCTTAATGCTTTGAGAGTATGCTGCTTTCTGGTTTTATATCAAAATTTGACATCCCAGGAGAGAAAAGCTAGGATGGTTTTCTTGGTAGATGAAGGAAGGAAAACAGGTCGTACCACCATTACCATTTCACCCCAACTAAGCAAAGAAGGGTGACACACAGTCCTTCTTAAGAACTGGCAAAGAAAATTTTTGAAGCATTTTCTCCGCGTCCAACTCCGAAGAAGTAGAAAGAGGGAGAGAGAGAAGACTTTGCTTCAGAAAATAGGAGAGAAAGACTAAATAAGGACAAAATTTTGAAGCCCAGAGAAGACTGCAAAGAGTGCCTTACCTTCGTAAACACACAAACACACTCTGGCACCAAATGCCAAACGGCTTTCTCCCGGCGTGGCCAATATCATTCGGGCGGCAGAGGCGTCTCTAGGAGAAGAAGGGAAACTCAGATTATTTTTAGACAGGTGATGGAAGGATCAGATGCTGCCTCCTATCGGGTTTCTGGAGCAGAGAGTCTCCTCTTCTTAAGTTTTTCTTTTTGCCACTCCGAAAATCCAGAAAAAACAGGAAACTGGGAAGAGTTTGTCCGCACAATTATGTATTTAAAGGATTGTTTTGTTTAAAACAAAAATTATCTTGTTTCTTCACTGGGGCAAAAAAAAAAGGGCATTTCAAGGGCTTTTCAAGAGCTTCGTTCCAGAGACAAAATCTCTTTTTTGAGATTTTCAGCTAATCTTGATAAGGGGGGGGGGGAATCAAAAACTGTTCATGTTTGGTTAAAGCAGACATGTCAAACACAAGGCCCGGGGGCTGGATGCGGCCCGCGAAGTGGTTTCATGTGGCCCGCGAAGCCATCCTGGAAACAGTGAGGGAATGGCCCCCGCTGCCTTGGCCCTGGCCCAGGCCAGCCAGAAGTGAATGTACAATTTTGTGGTGGCCATCTTGGCACTTGCCCCGGTGGACCATGCCTTGGCACTTGCCCCGGTCCCACCCCCTTCTGCCAGAGACCCTCAGATCTGTCCCACTCCTGCCCAGGCCCCCATAGGCACCCTTGATGCGAATGATGTAGAACTGGCCATGCCCACCCAGTAGGCCACACCCACCCAGTAGGCTGCACCCACTCTGGCCACACACCCTGCCCTCCCCCAGGGCAACCGCAATGCTGATGCGGCCCTCAGTGAAATTGAGTTTGACACCCCTGGGTTAAAGGCAGAAGATCATTGCAAATGTAGGGGAACAGGAAGTTGTGTCGTATCTCGTTGGCAGAGAAGTAAACCCCCAATCCTTTTACTTTGTTTCCTAAAATTAAAAATCAAGCTATGTTTTTTTTTTCCTTTGATTTAATTATGTCTGATTCTCGAAGACTGCCTGGAGAAGTCCTTGCAGTTTACTTGCCAAGGTTTTTCTGAAGTGGATTTGCCATTGCCTCCTTCCTAGGGCTGAAAGAAAGTGACTGGCGCAATTCCAGTATTTGAGGGGTTTATTCCAGTATTTGAGGGGTTGCCACAAAGACAAGGGGGGGGTCACGTTATTCTCTAAAGCACCAGAGGGCAGGACAAAAAACAATGGTTGGAAACTGACCAAAGAGAGGAGCAACCTGGAATTAAGGAGAAACTTTCCGACAGTGAGGACAATCAACCAGTGGAACAGCTTTGCCACCAGAAATCGTGGGCACTCCATCACTGAAGATTTTTAAGAAGAGGCTAGACCAGTGGTAGGCAACCTTGGCTCTTTTATGACTCGTGGACTTCAACTCCCAGAATTCCTGAGCCAGCATGCTGGCTCAGGAATTCTGGGAGTTGAAGTCCACGAGTCATAAAAGAGCCAAGGTTGCCTACCCCTGGGCTAGACAGTCACTTGTCTGAGATGGTATAGGTTCTCCTGCTTAAGTGAGGGGCTGGACTAGAAGACCTCCAAGGCCCCTTCCAGCTCTATTCTATTAATAGTTAATTAAAGTCATCCAGGTGATTTTGTGCTCAAGGCAGGACTAGAACTCAGAGTCTTCCAGTTTTCCACTCCTAACCCAAACCAGGATGGATCAATGATTGTAGGGGAGGGCCTTTTTTACAGCGGCCTGAAGACTCCAAACAAGGAAGGCCTCAAACACTCCAATGTGCCAGATCATATCCACAGCAAACCTTGTGAACAAGAAGAAATGCAATGCTTTAAAACCAGAAGAGCTAATTTTTAATTCTTGTTTCCATTTCTCAGAATATGTGTGAGGCCTGCAGTTTTCTTCTGTGTGGAAAGGCTGCCCTCTGCTGGAATTAAAAAAGACCTGCAGGAGCAATAGTAGGAGGGCTCGTCTTCATATGTATTTAGCTGCGAACTCTTACTGCTCCCATTTCTACCATCGCTGGAGCAACTGTTCGAGAATAATATGCAGTAACACCATTTATTAGATTATGGAAGTGGTTATGTTCACATTGTTGAAGGAAAAGTCTTCATCGTGGTTCAGTCCAAGCCGGGGATAAACAACACGGCGACTGCTTTAGAAAGAAGGTTGCAGTTTATTGAAGAGGAGAGCCAGACAGAAAGATGACTCTGGAAGAAAAAAGAGGGAGCACATGTAGGGAGTGGGTTTTTATACCCTCTGGAGCCATTTGTTTGGAGTTGTTCCTATGGCATGAACTTTGACCTGAGTCTGAGTGTGCCTTTCTGGTATTCTGATGGTGGTGGGTTAATCTTATTATGTCCCAAGGGTCATATCCTGCTTCCCTGTGGCTGTGGCTGATGACTCTTAGATTTTTGGTGTGTTGATTCTAGGGATCTTTCTTCCTAATCCCAGTTTCCTGATTCCAGTCTTTCTGACAAGATTATCACCTGCATTTCTACAGACTTGGTTTCTATTTGGGACAGAGACACTTCGGGGCAGGGCTGTTTCTGCTTTTAAAACCCTTTAGGGAAATATATTCTGCCTTTTAAATATTTCCAAAAATATTTCTTTCTCTGTGGGGGGGGGCTGACTTCCCACAACATCATGTTTGGAATATAAACTTGCCATCCACAAGTTAGCCTGGTGTGTTGTGTGAACCTAGCAAAACTGATTACACTGATCTACAAGTTTTGGGAAATGATTGACCTCCGAGATAAAATGTGCTAATTCTTACATATTTTGATCAGATGAATTAGAAAACAGGTGATAAAGGTGCTGGTTGGCTAAAGTTTTCAAGATATTTCACAATAAAGATTTATACACAGGCAAGTATATTTGCCTACAAGGGAGGGAGGTGTCTAATGATCATGATGCCTCGTAACCTCTTGACCAGGGGTAGTCAACCTTGGCTCTTTTATGACTCGTGGACTTCAAATCCCAGAATTCCTGAGCCAGCTTTCTGGGAGTTGAAGTCCACGAGTCATAAAAGAGCCAAGGTTGACTACCCCTGCTCTTGACAAACTACGGTAGAACAATGAAAATGGTAACACACGGAAGTGTATACATTTATTTTGAAACTACAGATTATTACCTAACTGTAATTTATTATTCTTTTATTGCAAGGTACGTTTATCTCGGTCAGATCTATGCATCATACAGTTACATCTGGTGGCTTGTGAAAGTGTTATTGTCTAACATTTCCAAGGAATGTGTTAGAAGTAAGTCTTCATCCTGGTTCATCCAAGCCGGGAATAAATAAGCAAACATGGCGACTGCTTTGGGAAGAAGGTTACAGTTTATTGCAGAAGAAAGATGGTCCTTGCAAGAAGGAGCAGAGGAGAAGAGCGAGAGCACATGGGTAGAAGGTTTTTTATACCCCCTCTAGCCCTGTTTGGAATAGTTTCCTGTTCCTGTGGCATGAACTTTGAGGAGTGTTTTTCTAGGCCTTGATATCTGTGGTTTAATCGTATTATCATATCCTGCTTCCCAGGTGATGGGGCTAATGACTCCTAGAGTTTGGGTGGGACATGCAGATTTTCTCTTTGTCTTCTTGATTGCTCTGGCTTCAGCTTTCTAATGGTTTTACATCTGCATTTGTATGGGGCTAGATCTTGCTTGGGGCAGAGAGATTTGGAGCCAAAGTTGGTTTCTGCTTTTTAAAATACTTTTGAGGAAATATATATTTCTGCCCTTTTAATATTTCTTTCTCTGGGGCTCTGACTTCCCACAAACGGTTGTGTGATATTTTCTCTTAGAAGCCAAGATGCCACAAAATTCTGTAAATAATGCAGATAGCAAGCAACTAAATTTCATCTTTAATGTGTGCCATTGTGCCCACAGGAAAAAAATGACAATAAAGGTAATCTAATCTAATCTCTACTGGTTGAAGGAACTTCGGGGACTCTTTATCATCCAAGCCCATTCGACCAGGTGCTTTCCAAATAAGTTGGACTCCAACAGACATCACACTTAGCCGGCACATGGGATTTGTAGTCCACCCCATCTCGAGAGGAACGGCTTTAGCCTCACGTCCAGCGAGGCCCACTTTAGATTCATCCATCCATTGAACTACGTTTCCCGACATCCCACTGGAACGGTCTCTGCCGTCTCTCATCGCCCAGTGAAACTACATTTCCCGGCAAGCGCAGAGACAACGTCTACTACGTCCTCTGAAGGCTTGAGAAGGCGGCGAGGTTCATCTCCGCGCCTAAAACTCCACCTCCCAGCATGCTCATGGGCGGGCGTGCCAGCGCGGCTGCGCGAGGGGCGGGGCTTAAACGTGGCAGGGCGGTTATGTTCATTCTGTCAGAAAAACCATGGCTGCGACGGCTGGGGATTCTCCTTCGCTCGCTGTCTCCTCTTCCCGGCCGTCGGGTGATGCCGACGCGGGGTCCCCTCACATAGCGGCGCTGATCCTGGCTCGAGGCGGCAGCAAAGGAATCCCTCTGAAGAACATTAAGCTCCTGGCTGGCGTTCCGCTGATTGGCTGGGTACTGAGGGCAGCGCTCGACTCCGGCGCCTTTCAGAGGTCTGCGCATGCGCGAGTGACAATGGTTTCTTCCCCCCCCCCTTCTCTCTCTCTCTCTCTTTCCCCCTCCCATTTTGAATGAAACTATAGTTCTTTTGTCTCCAACAGAAACTTCCGGGTTTTATTTGATTCTTTATTAGGGGTTTCACACAAGCCATAGTAAAAATAATACAGCGCTTTATAATTATTAGAAAGCACGCTCTCTCTCAGAATCAAAAGGTGGAAATCCGTGGGATTTCATATCCAGGATGGGCTGTTGGTGGCTTTTTCATAGACAGTTTCTTGCAAAAGTTTCCAGCGGATTCCAGTAGATGTGGGTACTATAGAGATGGTAGTAATATTAATTTCCTAGCAGGTTTCAAGGAGACTGGGATGAAGGTTTGTGGGGTTTTATTATGTTGTGGATTTTTAAATATATGCTGTGTGTGAGTTGGGCAGCCCTGTATGTCAGCAAAGCTGAGAAAAATAGGTGTGACCTATTAAAATAATTTTTTTTTAAAAAATGGCAATCCAAACGTTGAATGAAATGACTATAAATGGTGTGGCTTGACACCCTTTATATCAGTGGTTCTCAACCTTTTTAATGCCGCGACCCCAACCGGTCGTAAGTCGAGGACTAAACCGGTGGTAAGTCGGACTAAACTGGTCGTAAGTCGAGGACTAAACCGGTCGTAAGTCGAGGACTACCCAACCGGTCGTAAGTCGAGGACTTTCCCTGCCCGGGAGCGCCGCGCATGCGTGGTTCCGCCCCCTGCGCCGGCTGAGGCGTAACTGGCAAGCGGCAGAGACGGAGCAGGCTGACCACCAGCTGGCCCAGCCCAAGGGAGGTAAGGCACCCGCCGGAAAAGGGGAAAAAAATGGCGGACAAAAAACATGGCAGACAGCCTTGCTTGGCGACCCCCGTGAAATGGTCGATCGGCCCCAAATGGGGTCCCAACCCACAGGTTGAGAACCACTGCTTTATATGCTTTACAGGTAGTCTTTGACTTACAATCGCCAGTGAGCCCAACCTTTCTGTTGTTAAAGTAAGCTGAGTGATTTTGCTCCATTTTATGACTTTTTGCCACAGTTGTTAAGTGAATCTGGCTTTCCCCATTGACTCTGCTTGTCGGAAGTCAATTGAAAAGGTTACTAATGGTGATCACATGACCCAGGGCAATGCAACTGTCATAAGTACATGCCAGTTATCAAGTTATCCAAATTTTGATCATCTGACCATGGGATATGCTGCAATGGTCAAAAGTGTGAAAAATGATCATAAGTTACTTTTTTCAGTGCCGTTGTAACTTCAAACAGCCATTAAATGAATGGTTATAAGTCAAGGACTACCAGTATTATTATTTAATTAAATGTACAGTATGAGCCGTCCCAAATCAGTTCTTATTAAATATACTGGTTTAAACAAATACTTGCAAGGTTGCCCCTTATGCGACTTAACTTAAGAGGATATTCTGTTTATTATAACAGCTGTGGTGGCGCAGTGGTTAGAACGCAGAATTGCAGGCTAACTCTGCCCACTGCCAGGAGTTCGATCCTGACTGGCTCAAGGTTGACTCAGCTTTCCATCCTTCTGAGATCTGTAAAATGAGGACCCAAATGGTTGGGGGCAATATACTCAGTAAACCACTTAGAGAGAGAGGGCTGTCAAGCACTATGAAGCAGTATGTAAGTCTAAGTGCTATTGCTATTGTTATTTCAGAGGGCACGTTTTGACAGGGAATTGAAATAAAACCATATGTTTTCAGATTCTTTCTCTGAAATAGATAGAAGTATTTTCCTATTCTGGTTCCTTGAAGAGGACTTGAGGGCAAAACAGAAAATTAAGTTTTTGCTGAGGTTGTGCAGTACTTGGTGTAAAAGGGTAAAAGGTATTTCAAAGCATATGTGGGCAGAAAGACAGGACCAGTCTGCCCACCTTAAATTGTTGTTGTTAGTTGCCAAGTCGTGTCCCACCCATCGCGACCCCATGGACAATGTTCCTCCAGGCCTTCCTGTCCTCTACCATCTTCTGGAGTCCATTGAAGCTCACGCCTACTGCTTCAGTGACTCCATCCAGCCACCTCATTCTCTGTCGTCCCCTTCTTCTCTTGCCCTCAATCTTTCCCAGCATCAGGCTCTTCTCCAGTGAGTCCTTCCTTCTCATTAGGTGGCCAAAGGACTTGAGTTTCCACTTCAGGATCTGGCCTTCTGAAGAGCAGTCAGGGTTGATCTCCTCTAGGACTGACCGGTTTGATCGCCTTGCAGTCCAGGGGACTCGCAGGAGTCTTCTCCAGCACCAGAGTTCAAAGGCCTCAATTCTTTTGCACTCAGCCTTTCTTATGGTCCAACGTTCGCAGCCACACATTGCAACTGGGAAAACCATGGCCTTGACTATACGCCCTTTTGTTGGCAGGGTGATGTCTCTGCTTTTTAGTATGCTGTCTAGATTTGGCATAGCTTTCCTCCCCAGGAGCAAGCATCTTTTGATATATTGGCTGCAGATTCCATCTGTGGTGATCTTGGAGCCCAGGAAGATAAAATCTGTCACTACCTCCATTTCTTCCCCATCTATTTGCCAGGAATTGAGAGGGCCGGATGCCATGATCTTGGTTTTCCTAATGTTGAGTTTCCACCTTAAATTAAACATGCCTTTTTATGGAATCCACTGCAGTAACTGTACACTTTGAAGCGGGGGGGGGGGGGGGAATGCAGCAGCCTTACAGCATTGCCAAGGGTGCTAGATGTTCACCCTCATATCCTCTCGTGACCTTTTTTGCCTCCAAATCTGAAGCGCTGCGCAATCTTTCCGTTTGTAAAAACACGATGTGCCCATTTTACAGATTTGAAAATTAAGGCCAAACCCTAGTGATTTTCCTGAAAGACGTCGGTCGAAGAGAACGGTTACTACTCTCTTTTCCAAAAGATTTAGTGGGGAGAATAGGAGATAAAGAATTGACTCCTGTCTTAAGGCTTGTCATGCTGTGTCACAACCTTCCCTCACGGGCAATAACGTTGCTGCTCCCTTTGTCTCCCCACAGCGTGTGGGTTTCCACAGATCATGATGAAATTGAGAAAACTGCCAAACAGTTTGGAGCCCAGGTCCATCGGAGGACCTCTGAAGTGTCTAAAGATTCCTCTACTTCTTTGGACACCATTGTGGAGTTTCTCCAATATCACGAGGGTATGTTGGTGCTCACAAATTATGAGTTGTTGAGTTTTTTTTAAAAAAAGTATTGCTTTGGGAGATCTTTCAGCTTTCATTCTCTGGATTTGAATACAGGTATGTCTAATTTAATGAAAAGAAGGACACAAGGGGTGATATGATAGCAGTCTTCCAATATCTCAGGGGCTGCCCCAAAGAAGAGGGAGTCAAGCTATTCTCCAAAGCGCCTGAAGGCAGGACAAGAAGCAATGGATGGAAACTAATCAAGGAGAGAAGCAACCTAGAACTAAGGAGAAACTTCCTGACAGTTAAAACAATTAACCAGTGGAACAACCTGCCTCAGGAAGCGGTGAAAACTCCAACACTGGAGGTTTTTAAAGAGATCAGACAGCCACTTGTCTGACATTGTATAGAGCAGGAATGTTCAACACGCTGCCCACCGGCCGGATGCGGCCTGCGCAGGCCCCGCCCACCCCGGCTCCACAAGGACAAAAACCATACCGATACGTCACGATACGGCCCACAATGCGATTGGGCTTGACATCCCTGGCCAGCGTGCCTGGCTGAGGAATTCTGGGAGTTGAAGTCCACAAGTCATAAAAGGGACAGGTTTGAAGACCCCTGTTATAGGGTTTCCTGCTTGAGCAGAGGGTTGGACTAGAAGACCTCCAAGGTCCCTTCCCACTCTGTAATTCTGTTTGTCTTGAACTTATGACCACAGTTGAGCCCAAAATTTCCGTTGCTACCCAAGGCAGTTGTTAAGTGAGTTTTACCCCATTTTATGATTTTTTTTTTTTACACATTTGTTAAATGAATCACTGCAGTTGTTAAGCGAATCATGCAGCGGTTAAGCGCGTCTGACTTCCCCGGCTGATTTTGTTTGGGGAAGGTTACAAATGGTGATCACGTGACCTCAGGACAGTGCAACCGTCATAAATATCTGCCAGTTGCCCAGTGCCTGAATTTTGATTATGTGATCATGGGAATGCTGCGACGGTTGTAAGTGTGAAAAGTAATCATAAGTCACTTTTTTTCCCCAGTGTTGTTATATTTTTGAACGGTCATCCGGTTGTAAATCAAGGATTACCTGAAAATCTCTTTTTATCTGCATGCTTATATATTAATTGAATGTAATTTTAATCTGTAATGAAATTCTTTGTCTCTGCTGCTTCCGAGCTCTCCTTAGTGACAGAGATAGATCGGAGTACTAATCAATGTTTAAATATTGCATTTTAGGGAGCCAGTTGTATTATGAAACATCTCATATTTCAGCAAAATATACGGAGGCAAAGAAATCATTGTAAAAGCCACCTGCTTCATACTTTTTATTTAACTGAATTAGCCCCCAAATTAATAGTCTAAAAACCAGATATTAACTATTTACCTAAATAGAATTCTATTTGCTATGACCATGCCATTGAATAAATGTAAGGATTCTAAACAGTGTAAATTGTAATAATATTCTGCTTGGATTTTCCCATAAATATATGCCATATATCTTCTGGTACATTTTAATGATATAGTTTGAACCAAATGGCAAACTAGAAAAAGAGATCCCCAACCTTTTGGGCACCAGAGACCGGTTCCGTGGAGAGAGGTTTTTCCGTGGACCGGAGGGTGTGTGGTTTTGTGTGCTGCCTGCATCCCGCAGATGGGGCTTTGCTTGTTTGTGCGGACCAGTTGCTGGCATGCCGCAGCCCGGTACCGGTCCACGGACCGGGGCTTCGGGACCCCTGACCTAGAAGATTCTTATCTCCTCCATATTTTTCTTTCATTTCTACAGAGGTTGATGTTGTAGGAAACATCCAAGCAACTTCCCCGTGCCTGCATCCCACCGACCTCACCAAAGTGGTCAAAATGATCCGGGAGGACGGCTTTGACTCGGTGTTTTCCGTTGTCCGGCGGCACCAGTTCAGATGGAGTGAAATTAAAAAAGGAGGTAAAGCTTGAGCATCTTTCAGACCGGATATTATTGCTAATGAAAGCTTCAGATAGGTACCTATTCACATCAACCCTCTACCGCCCTTGAACAAGCTGGCTTCTTTGGCTAAGAAATGGAGATGATCACCACCCGCTAGAGTTGGGACATAACTGGACAGAGAAACTTTGACCTTGACCTTTAAATCCAAACCTTCTCAGTACAGCCTACTCAGCTGGTTGCAACATCCCAACACTGGGCCAGGGTCTTTCTCTGATGCCTAAAATTCTCTTCTGTGGAAAGGCCAAAGATTGGCATGGGGACTTTTTAACCAGCAAGGTAATGTGTCTCTGCTGGGAAGAGATGTTGCTTCCCTTTGAAAAATCAGGATGATTCTGATGAGTTGATTGATGGCTCTGAGAACCCATTTTTGAAGGATTTGGCTGAAGCACAGCTGCGGCAGGACAGTTCTGAGGCTCCAGGTGGGAAAAGCATGCAGCTGATGAGGAAGAGGAACTGCCTTTTGCATCTGATCCAAGAACACGTAGGGCAGAGAAAAAGGCAGGAGCAGAGAAGGCCAGCCAGATTACTCGTGAGGAGAAAGCCAAGCCTTTCTTGATAGGCTGCGCCAGAAGCTGACTCTTTAGCACCGCAGACAGATGGAAGTGATGCTAGGAGCAACGTGTTTGTTTCCTAGCTGTGTGTTTTCTGGTCTTGCTTTGGACTGACACCGTGCCTTGACTCGGATCGGGCCTTGTGAACTCTGCATTTTTCTTGCCTCATGAACCCTCTTGTAGGGTGGGTTTAAGTTTGATTTTGATTGACAAACTTTCAAGTGCCTTGTGGACTCTTTGGCCATTGCTCTGTGGACTAGCCATGGTCTGCTTGTGGCTGGACTTAATTGGAACAGTTCTGGGTTTTTGGTGAAGGGAATTGTTGGAGAATACAGGTACTCCCCGAGTTACGAGCGTTCACTTAACGCTCGTTCAGAGTTACGCGAGCTCATGGTTCTTTAGGCCTCTTCTCTGCAACAGAGAAGGGAACCGAAGCCGGGGGATGCTTTGACGTGCCTCCGGAAGCTGGATCGGGCCTTTTCCAGGGGGCTGCTGCCCGGCTGTATAGCCACGGAACACTTTTGTCCCGCCCCCACGGCCCAATCTGGGCTCTGGAGGCTTTGAAAAGGTCTCTGCTGCCTGGATCGGGCCGCGGGGGGTGTAGCAAAAGTGCTCTGCGGCCATAGATCCGGACGGAAGCAGCCTTTTCCAGGCCTCCGAAGCCTGGATCGGGCCGCAGGAAGGCTGTGGATGCATCCCCTGGCTTCAGATCGGAGTGGCAGCAGGAACCGTGGCAGAGAGGAGACAGACCTTTTCCAGGTGAGTCCCAGGTGGCAGGAAGGGGGGGGGAAGCATGAGGTATCTTAGTGGGTCAGGGAGGCCTTGGGGGCCTGTTCTGTTCTGTCCCAGCCTGCGTGAGTCCTTGTTATGCTCACAAGGAGAAACCCCTCTTCCAAGAAACAGGCAGGAACCGCAAGAAAAACCAACCCCTTTTATTCTCACAGACCTGAGTCAATGTCCAAGGCAAACAAACACAGTCCACAGAAAGTCGATCCTCAACACGAACGGTTGCCTTCGGCAACCAGCACCTCCCACACCTTCCCTTTTATAATTCAGCCAAGGCGTGGCTTCCTAATGCCTTCTCCTTTGCCTTTGGAGCCGCCCCATTGCATTTCTCTGTCTTACTCGCTTCTCTTGCCTGCGCATTCGTGCCTCCGGGATTTGTCCCAGCTGTTCTTCATCACTGTCCAACTCAGGCTCCCAGCACAGCTGTGTCTCAGCCTGAGCGCGAGTAGAGGGGCCAGGCTCCTCGTTCGATTGAAAATCTTGGAGCTCCTCAAAGCCTTCCTCTGACTCCAATGTCACTCCAGGCCCCTCCTCCTCCTCCTCTGATTCCTCAGACTCAACTGCCAGATCCACTGGCTGGCGAGGAATCACAACATGTTCCATCACTAGGCCCTCCATGGCCTTCCCCACCCTTGAGATACCTCATGTTTACTTAACGAGCCGTGTGCGTTTTAACGAGCAAGGGAGTGATCGTGCTAAAGGAACGAGATTCACTCTACGAGTTTTCGAGTTACGAGTGGAATGGGCAGGCTCCATTCCACTCGTAACTCGAGGACAACCTGTATTAATAAACTCACCAAACCACAGTTTAGTGTGTGAGTGAGTGAGAGGGACAGCACAGTGATATTTGCAATTCCCATGGTACCGAATCCAACTCTTCCCCCCCTCCCTCTTGTTTTAACAGTCAGTGAAGTAACTGTCCCGCAAAATCTGAATCCTGCCAAGCGTCCCCGACGGCAGGACTGGGATGGTGAACTATATGAAAATGGATCGTTCTACTTTGCCAAAAGGGCCTTAATTGAAAAGGGATATTTGCAGGTGGGTGCGCCAATTCTGTTTGTCCTTCCTTTTGCCACTGCAATTCTGCTGAGTTGGGTTTCTGAAGAAGTTACTCAGTTCTTTCGAAGCTCTCCTTTCATAGTTCCAATTTAGGGACCGGCTGAATTTTTTCCCTCATTTTTTTCTTAAAATCCTCCTGTAAGGGGTGGATTGACTGTCAAAGGCCAATTGCTGATAGAGTGATTTTTAAATCAAGAAATAGAAGAGGAAGGGAGACATTCAATCCCACTTCCCTGGAATCACTGGCCAGATTATCGTCCTGTTTCACATTCCTAGTTGTAGCATGATACAACCAGGCCAGTGGTGGCGAACCTATGGCACGGGTGCCAGAGGCGGCACTCAGAGCCCTCTCTGTGGGCACGTGCGCCGTCGCCCCAGTCCTAGGCCTTCAGCTAGGTTTTCGCTTTAGGCTCCGCCACCATGTGCAAAAAAAAAAAAAAAGGTTCAATCAGTCGATTTCAATTTCTCGTGGGAAAAAAAAGATCTTGCAAATTTGGAATTGATTGATTGAACTTTTTAGTCCCACCCAGTCTGCCGTTACCACCGCAGCCACGCCCAGCCAATGGACCACACCCACCTGACACTCGACAATGCATAAGTGGGTTTTGGGTTGCAGTTTGGGCACTCAGTCTCTTAAAGGTTCGCCATCACTGAACTAGGCCATCTAAAATATTGGTAAGTCCACCCCAGCTGAAAGGCTATAGTAGATGGGACTTATATTTTGTTTTTCCAAACAAGACTTTCCTGTTTACTATTTTTGATGCAGAAGCACAATTGGTATGAATTAAGCTAGGTTTTTATTATTCCATCCAGAGTGTTAAGGAGGTGGATTCATCATCGTGTGCAGATGATGCTGCGGTGCGCGGGAGGAGGGCATAGCCGCCATGGCACTGCTGGGCTGCCTGGGCTATCTGCGGTGGGCCGTGGAGGCGGTGGGCGGCCCTGCAGGGGGGGGCAGGACAGGACGGGGTGGTTTTGGGGCATTCGGTCTCTAAAAAATTCGCCATCACTGATCTATAATGTTAATCTTTCACACTTTCAGTGTATTTAAGATAGTCACAGGGCTTTCATTCCAGAACGTCCCTGTCTTCTAAAAGGGAAGGGGGAAAAAAAAAAAAGATTTGCCTGCAAATTGGGCTGGTATGCAATTTCTGGCTCTTCTCTGCAGACCTGTGCCTGTACATGACCCCTCTGGAAACCCTGCCCAGCATTCAGGATGCGCCCTCTGGTGTGGGCACGATCGACTGACCCATGGTTTCCATTTTGTTTAGGGTGGGAAAATGGCCTACTACGAAATGCGAGCTGAGCACAGTGTGGACATCGATGTTGACATAGACTGGCCCATTGCAGAGCAGCGGGTCCTAAGGTAATCTCAGAAGCTGATTTCCTCGTGTGTCTCCGCCTTTGAGAGATCTTATAATGCTGGGATGCACCATCAGCAGGACAGCGAGGTGCCCTTGTGGAGTCCCTGGTGCTCTGAGTGGTTGCTGGTTTTCTTGCAGACGTTTCACGACCCAACTAGGCATCAGTGTTTGAAGGGAGTGCAGTTAAACTACCTTGTAGTACTGATGCCGTTACCTAGTTGGGTAATGAAACGTCTGCAAGAAAACTGCCAAGCTCAGAGAGCATCACGGACCCCATAGTCGTTGTCGTCATTTTCCTCTTCCTCTTCCTCCTCCTCCTCCTCCTCCTCCTCCTCCTCCTCCTCCTCCTACCCCATTCCCTTCTAGCACTGATAACATTACCTAGTTGGGTAATGAAATGTCTGCAAGAAAACTGCCAAGCTCAGAGAGCACCACGGACCCCATAGTTGTCGTTGTTGTCCTCCTCCTCCTCCTCCTCCTCCTCCTCCTCC